ATGAATACCGCCCTATGAATACCGGCCATAGTCCGTTCTTATATTCAAGATCGTCTTAAGCACGGACTTATGAAGAATTCACACTGCGTCCGAAATCCGACGTACGACGTCCGATATCCAATAATAAGAGCTTGTTTTCTACACGATAAAATATCCTTAGTTATAGCGTTTTCGATTATACAGGATTTGAACGACCCAGGGTTGGTTAATGACGTCATTGCAACCTCTCCACCAATAAAAGACTTGCATTTATAGTAAAATAGTGATTGATCAACCCTGGGTCGTTCAAATCCTGTATAATCGAAAACGCTATTAGAATTTCTAAAAAACAAGTTCTATTATCGTCGTACGTCGGATATCGGACGAAGTGTGAATCCTCCATTATATTCGCTCTCTTCGTCAGACACAATCTGTGTGTGACGATCTTGAATATAAGAACCGATTATGAATACCGGCCTATTTCAGTTAATCAAATTCATACGCATTTTTTTTAATTTATTGAAAGTAAAAGTCGACATACATTTGCATTACATGATGCAAAAAGGCGAAATTCAATAAACAATTACCGCTTACAAATTTTCCAGCGACCTCTAGTTTTTATATTATAAATTTAATATTTAAAAGTAAGTATTTTATTTTGCAACTATAACTAGGCTGTTTTTTATATTGCTATTTGTGAGGTGTAAGGTTTCAAAATAAGGCCCCAGCTTGCGCCTAATGCGCCTTATGGTAAATACGGCCGTGGATGTTGACATGTGATAATGTATAATGATTTAAATGAAGTGCTTATATTAAAAGACATTTCCATGAACATAAAGTTTGATTAATATGCAAATAAAAAAAAGAAATAAAGCTGTTATGTAAGCTGTTATGGTTACCTAATTCTTACTGAAATAATTTATAAACAAGAATAAATCAAGTGGAATTAGTATCGGAAAATTAGTAATGGAAACAAAGCTTAAAAATTAATAGTTTTTCGTCTAGAGATATTTTAAAAGTCTAACTTTTAACTTTTGCTATGCTGTGATGACATAGCCGTGATATAATGCCGTCTAATGTGATGCTGTGTGTGTAAGTGGATGTGTGCGTATGTGTGGGTATATGCTGTGTTGTGTATATCACACGCGCGTACACACCCACCACTCACTCGCATACACACCTACACGATACATGCAGCACACACATGCACGCACATACACGCATATGCACGCACAGGCGCGCATACGCACGCACACGCATGCGCACCCGCTCCGTACTCCGTACCCGCCATATTCAAATAAAAATTATTTATCTTGCGTTTTAAACAAAAACAAATGTTGGAATTATAAATTTAACCGATTATTAATAATGTACAAACGACGTATAAACGATTAAGCACGATAAATTCATAAGTTATAGTTTACGTGACGTAATTGCGACATAGGGGGGGGGGCGGTAACTATCATTGGCACAGTTACAAAAACTTTAGTAATTTTTTTTTAAATTAACGAAAAATGTACAAACAATAAAAATCATAGTACATTCATGTACAAACAATGTACAATCCGAATATATAAATAGTTTTTACGTATTTGCGTTAGGGGGGGGGGGGCTAACTATATAGACCTAGCTATTATTGGTTATTTTATAGTATTCTATCTTTAGTGATAGGTAGAAAAAATATAGGCAATAAAATTAGACTTCTAGAATGTTGCGGTAGAATATAATTTGTCCGGTAAAGTATATTATAAAAAAGTAAAAATGGTATACTGATATTCAACAGTATTTCTTAAATAAAATTAGTAGCATATTATAACCGATTAATACAATAATGCTTCAAACCAATTACATTCGGGAAAAGATAGAAGCAATGTAATGAGATTTACAGTATATTGTTATAGCAGAAAAGAATCTGTAGGGTAAAATAATAAATTAATTAAAATATTGTACATGCA